TTAAGATGTTTGTTTATCTTATCTTGATCCAATCATAGTGATAGTAATTATATTGATATTGATATCAATATTGACACTTATAATTATACTTGTTTGTAATGTCTTAATGATGATAACGATAATGATAAGGAACAGTAATATAATGTATTTTTATATGAAAAAGTGAATAAACTTTACTGTTATCATTATATTTACCTTTCTCCTTCTTTTTCATATTGATAAATTAAAATAGTTATCATTTTTTTTAACATGCTTTTTGAAAATGAAAATATGTGTTTTTTGAATAAAGGTTCTTTTGCTAATTATATTGGTAATAAGTTAGAATGTGATGATCTAGACAAAGATTATTCATTTCTAGAAATGATGATTATAGTATTTCTGATAATATAAGCAAAATTCCTTCAACACTTGCACATTTACCAATGATGATAGTTGTATTTATGAGTTTTTATTTGATCATGAGGCATTTCAAAATGCCAAAGAAAAGTTATTTTAAGTGAATATAATGATGAAGACATAATGTAAGAAGATATCAATATGGATGTTAAAAAAAATTTTGTCTCAACAATGGCTAGTTCTAACATAGATAAAGACTTTCAAATCCTGAAAGTATGCTATATACTTTAGGTGTTTGCATGAAACATTTGTCTTTTGATCAAAATAGATTACATAAGAAAAATTCAAAATAATTACGGTCAGTAGGTGAAGGTTACATTTGTCGACATTGTTGTTTTTTTTATTATAAAAACAAATATTTTTTTAGTCGTAGCAAAAATTGTGCAAAACACTTAATAAGCATTAATGATCGAAATGTGCAGGTGCCATGTGTAGGACTTCAAGTTTGTTCAAGTTTTAAAAATGATAGGATTGTTAAAGAAGCTAGTATAAATGAAAATGTGCATTATATATGCTCAAAATGTTTTCAAAAAGAAGGAGAACATTTTTTTGAATGAAGAAAAAGTGGATCAAAAGCTTTTTTATGTCATGAAAATCATATTCATTATATTACAAATGCATTAAAATTATTAGGTAGATGGATCTTAGATGTAGCTGATTCAACTAATAATAGAATTAAAAATAGTTTATTAATAGAAATTAGTATAGTTCTTAGTAAAACATTTGAAAATGTAAAACAAAATGATGATAATGATAATAATAATGATAATAGTATTAATGAAATACCTTTGAGTTTATTGTTAGTTAAGACTATATTACGAATAGGAAAATAAATATAAGAAAGTTAAAGGAAGAACTTTCAATTAGTAATCTTTAAATGAAAATCCAAAAAGAGTAGGAGAAGTATTTGGATTATGTGTTTGAAAAGCACGCTCTGAAATTTGTAAAAAAAAACAAAATCTTGAAATTCCACAATCACTCGAAGAATACCAATATGGATTTCCTATAGTTTTGAAAGATTGTTTTGGTAGATTTATAACTTTATTACAAAAAAAAGTTTAAAATTACGGAGAAAAAACATAAACAACGAGGATTGTCAGCAAAAAGTTTTGATGAAACACGTTCAAATAAAATATCAATTTTTATCATTTCCATGATTTTATCAATTGCATTTCCAGGTATTGACGTATGGCTTACTCATATTATGAGCTCCTTATATCAAAAACCAAACTTATTAAGCTCATTATATATAATTCTATGTACTACAAGCGTAGTTTTACATACGCAACGTCATGAAGGAAGATTAAAGAAGGATAGAATGGATAGAATTAAACTGGAAAAAAGATTAATACAGGAAGAAAATATATGGAACATTTGTGTTATAGACAATATAGATTTTAAAGAACAGTCTTTTGCATATAGAAATATCTATGATGTTACTCGAAATACATCATATGCAACTTTACGAATGGTATTTCAGTTCAATTTACCAATTCCAATTCATCAAATTATAACTAATACAAGTTTTAAAAAAAAACAACCATTTAGAATTGGTTTTTCCCAATTTACAGAAAATGAAATCCAAAGTTTTGAAAATAAAATTTATTTTCTTTTGCAAACTTTAGAAACAGATTTTGATATACAAACAGTTTATAAAGAACTGGTTAAAGAAATTGAAATAGGATGTAGAGTTCCACCACCTAATATAGTTATACTGGAACCTAGTGAAAATCCTTGCAATAATGAAGCTGTACATGATCCATGTAACATGTATTTTCATGATGTTGCTCCAAAAAATGTAAATAATAAATATATAGATGTAGCATGCGACGAAGCTATTTTTCGATGTTTAATACCTTATTCTGAACAAAAACCTGAAATTTGACTTATGTTTGGCGTATGGCATATCAGTAAGGAAATGTGTAATATATTAATTACCATTTTTTCAGGGTATGGAATCTTTAATATGGCAGCTTATATTGGCGTCTGTTATTTGGATAAATTGAAGAAAGTCGTAGATTATCAAGCAACATATCGGGTCTTAGAGTAATATGGGTTGCAATCTGAATTGCATTAAATAAAATTATGAAAAATAAAAGCAAAACATTTAATGATATCAAAATTGAAAATAATAGTATAATGAAAGTTTGGTATTTATATTTTTGCTGGTGTGGATATTGGATTGGATACAAAATTAGAATTTGATATGGATACTATCATATGCAATTTGAAAATTTAATTGCATTCGCACCACTTTTTTCAATATCAGGAAAAAGTAATTACGCAAGATCTGTCACTCATTTTCTTCATAATATTTTTGAAGATCTATCACTCCAATCATTACTTCAATATGTTTGCTCTATAAATCTTACCAATCCCGATCATTTTTTTGCCTTTGATGAGGCGTTAGAAAGATTTGGAGTAAAGTATGTAAAGCAAAATATTGGAAAAATCCAGGGAATTGTGAAAATCTAAAACAAAAAATAAGTTCAATTCAGTTTGAACGAGAAAGGTTATACATTCTTTTAAATGAATATGTTGGAGAGGAAATTCTTATTCAGAATGATTGTGCTATTAAATCTTGTAAGGAGTCACTTTGGAATTTGGTTAATCAGCTCACTGATGCATTTAATCTTACAGATTCAACCAATCATGAAATATTCAAGGATACAACTGAAAATAATATAAATGGATTTGAAAATCTATTTACCTGTTATAAAAAAGGAATTGAATGAATTAAAAGTATTAATGCGTAAGAAATTGAAAAAAGTGTTCCTCATAATACAAAAGGATGTCATATAAAAAATATTAAAACAATCATAACTCAACAACGAAAAAAAATTGAAAAAGATCGTAAAGAACAGGAAAAAATAAATAGAAAAAATGAAAAAATAGTACAGTCAAGTAGAATAATTTCTGCAAAATTATATTATATAAAAATAGCAGAAGGCTACACTTTCTCAGTATATACCAGTATGATATGATATCAAAGTGTAGTCTTCTTCATAATTATTCTATAAAATATTGGAAGAAGATTACACTTTTTAGGTATGTACTCAGTATTTAATTCAGATAGACAAAATTAGATTAATATTGATATTGATAAACGTGAAGAAATAATAACAAAAGGTAATATTATCGTTATCTATAAAGTAAAGTAATTATAAAATAATTACGATAATGATAACAATAACAATAACAATAAAAAATATTGTTGATTTTTTTTATTTTAAAAAAGATCTTGAGGTTAGTAATAAACGGCGATACAGATCTTTAACAAGTTCAGAACAGAATATTTTTGCTAAATTACAACAACAATCCGAATTATCAATAATAGAAATGGAAAAATACTTGTAGAAATTTGCTCCTTACCCGATAGTAAGCCTGAAGAATAGGACATAAAAAGGATTCGGGAAATTTGGCTAAGATATCGAAGACAAATGAAAAAACAAAAATGATAATATGTTAGTTATATTAATAATCAAACTTATCAATATTATTTTTAAAGCTCTTAATATTGATATATTTTTTCTTGTGCTTTTTGTATATTTTCGATTTGTTTAAAATAATAAATAACGATTACTAAGAAATGATCTTGTGTAAATACTTATTTTTATTATATGTTAAAAAATACCTTATAAAAAAAAATATAATACAAAGAAATCCTAATTTTCTGAAATAAAGTAAGAAGTAGAGTCGACAACAAGTAGAATAAAAATTTTAAAGGTTATTTTATTTGAAAAGAAATGGATGCGTTAATGATTAAATATTGCAATTATGTGGTCTCAAAATTTTTATTACTATTTAATTGCAGATCAAAAGACATGTCCAGTGACCGTCACAGATTTTACATTATTTATTACTTATCTCGCTAATATCTAAATAGAGATTTCTTGATCATAAATTTTTGCCATTGTTGAAACGTCAATATCTAAATTAAGTCAAAGGTGCAAATCACAAGACCGGAAAATTTACTGATAAATAAAAATTAAAAATAAATTACTGCGTCTTGGCCTTACTATATTCAGATACATTCCTATATAAAGAATATAATAATAACTAAAATTGAATAAGGCCTAAATAATAATGCGCTTGATGCAAGTAAACTTTTATACATAGAATTTGTAAGAAATTATATATATTAAATCTTTAAAGTCTTGCGACTACTAGTATTCATGCACTTCATTACCACTTTAAATGATTGAGTTTTTTGTTTGGAATATCTTTCTATTCTCCCTTTTTTTTCATTGTGCAATCAGCCCTTCTCTTGTATGACGAGTACACACCTACAAGATGATTGATTATCTTATTATTATTACACCTGCAATAACATTTGTTGTACTTACTGCCCGTTTGATCAAAGCTTCGTACACAAAACGAAATTAGGAATATCCACCCAATCCTTCGGGAGACTAAATCGATCTACCTCAAATAAACGATACATGCCTAATAATCACAGAGAATCATTATCTGGTCAAATTCTAGATACATATATACATCGCCATGAAGATTTACATATACATACCACGAAAATCCATCATCGTGAGAGATATCTCAATTTTATACGCTGTGGCTCCATAAGTTCAGAGATCTGTATAAATCTGTCATCGTTCAGTTGCCTCCGATACAATTATATTATTGAATAACTGCGTCATATTTCTTATATTCTTTGTGTCATTGTCAATAATCTTTTTTTTTCTCGCTCCAGGCTTTGCCTCCTCCATGCAAGCAATTTGATAATCTGAAACATCATTGAGAAATCCAATACCGTCCGCATTGCTTTTTATTTTTCCTTTCAGAGGAATTTCGCCACTAGTAAAATTCAAGCATGCCATGAATAATGCAATTAATTTTATGAAAAGAGGAAGTAGTGGGTGAACAAATTAGTCTCTCTAAGGTTGTAATATTTCTCAACAGGTTTAGTGACCTAAATAGAAGGTCTTTATACTATGCGCAATAGGTATAGTAGGTATTAGCTAATTTGATACTAAATTTTACAACTATAGTTTTCAACTTACAATCACCTAAATGTATCCTTTAATAGTCCTTTCGTATCTTTAACTGTTCGGAATCTTATTCACAAATTGCTATACTTCGAGCTACTTCACACCATCCTTGATGCCTACGGTCAGTATTAAAGAAGTCCGTAAGATAATTATGAATTTCATCTGTAATATAATCGTCTATCTCGTCAAAGATTTCATGTAGAACTCGATCCTGCAAATTCTGGTCTAATGAAATTGAGAACTCTGATCCTAAATGAAAATCCATAATTGAGGAATGGCTGAATTTCGAAGAGTATATGTCTAAAACATTCTTTTCAGCTTGAGATGCTGAAATAATATCCTTAAGAATATCATATACAAGTGCCTATAAAGAACACAAATGAATCAATGTTTCCTTAATCATCATTAATGATATGTTACAAACCTTGCTACCTTTCCCTTCATTTTCATTTGAATTGGGAGAGCCATTGTTGCAGTCATTACCTTCCTCTTCATTTTTATTTGAATTGTACCTTCACCTTCATTTTCATTTGAATTGGAAGTAGAGGTTAGAACCGGTTAATTTTTAACCGGTTAATTAACCGGTTAAAGATTTTTTTTTAACCGGCCCAAAAATCCTTAACCGGTTAATAACCTATTAAAAATTTTTTAATCGGTTAATTAACCGGTTAAATTTAACTCAGGCCGGCACTATAAACTAGCGAAATTTGTAATTGCAAAAAAATTTAATTCTGCCCGAAAAGTAAATTTCAGCCAGAGTTATTTTAACCGGTTCCAACCTCTAATTGGAAGAACCTTGAGGAAGCAAAAATCCCATTACCTCAGGTGATCCTAAAAAAAGTTAGTGAGTACAGTATGGCCAAAAAAAAAGTTGATTGATTCGATGCTAGATCAGTTTTTTTGACTTTTTTTGAGAAAGGTTCATAATCTATTCTTCCTTCCAAATGTCAAAAAACTCATTGCACTAGTCAGCGTAGCCTTTTCTGTGCACATATAGTAGTCAATGTACTCTCACCAATCCTTATAAGTTTTGGCACATACCTTTATATTATTTTTAGTGTTTTGGATTTTATCATAAATATGTTTGCAATTGTGTTTTGATACATTTTATGTCTTCTATATGTCGAGAAACTTCGTGGTCTTTATCAAAAATATCAACTTTTCCTTTACGATGCCAAGTAAGTTTGGTTGGTTTTTTTTAGAAACTTCTAACCAGTATTCTTCAAAACAAGGTGGTGTTAATAAAGACGTATATATATCAAGTAATATAAACTTGTAATATAGTTACCAGCCTCCTTTAAATTTTCTTTACAACTCTTTTTAAGCCTCATCTTACGGCGCTAACGTGTGAAAAAAAAGCGAAAAATAATTAGACAATTTATTTCGTCTATTATTATAGTCTGAATAAACTTTTATGACGCAATGATTAATCATAGCATATGATGAACCACATAATAGTATCACGTTATATCTCCTGATTTTAGTACTCTAGCGTTACTGTCACGTGATGATAATTTGCCATTAGATCGGTAAATTACACATACAATTAATATTGATAAATAATATTGTCTTTAAAAATTAAAATATTGCTAATTATTTTTAATTATTTTTAATTATTTATTAAACGTATATAAATGTGTAAAAAGGCAATGCACCCAAATTAAAGAATAAAATTAATAAAGAATAAAAATTATAGCAAACGCATATTTTTTTATATTGCATAAAATCTCGAGATCTGCATTCTAAAATAGGTTATGAACACGAAAACTTGAACTTAATTTTTATTCTAGAAGCACTATACGACAGAAATTGAAATGAATAAGGAAAAATTTGGAAGAAGGCATCTGTTTTACGCTAATTTAATAAGACTGAATAAATTATGAAACATAATATGAATTTAATATCCATATAATACAGTAGTTCCATATTTCGATAAAAAAATATGCTCCTGCTGTTCGTGTAAAAAGAAAAAAGTAGATTTCTGCCATTTCCGTGGCATCAATCCACAGTACGAATATTCAACTTGCAACAAATGTTGTGAAAATCGAAAAAAGAAATTGATCCGATCTCTAGAAAAAAAAAGAAACTTGATGATGATATGATTTTAACTACACCAATACTTCAACCAACCAGTCAAATTCCCTTTTTCCACCTTACAAACCTCGAGCTTAATAATATTATATAGGATGCCTAATACAACAATAATGTCAATAATTCTAATAATGTTAATAATGAACGGATTGGATGAGATACAGGAGATACTAAGCAGTTTCAAGGAGCAGAAAGTTTAAGCGAGCCAGTAAAGATAGGATTTGAAATAGAGCTTGATTTAAGTCTTATTGAGTCAACTTTTCCGGAATTTCAGCCCAATACATGTGATCTTACAACAATTAAGAAAAATTTCTGTCAATTAGTAAATATCCTTACTTTTCCTATTGAATATGGATCTGGATATTATTGGGAGATTCGGCAAATATATCTTGTTACAAGAAAAAAGGAGTTTACAGGTTGCGTTATGGTATATCTTAGATGTGCATAACGGGAGAATAGGAAGTGAAAAAGACCTGAAAATATGCCAGTAAAACGAAGAAGTGAGGCTCGTGTTCCAATAAATCGATATACTTGTATGGAAATATTGTACTTACCATTAATCTCCAACAATGACTCGTTCTTATTCAAGTTTGAAGTTTATCAGTTTTATATTGTAAACTAAACTAAAATTTTGATTAATCTGAAATTTAGATATTATTTTTTACTTATCATAAATGTTAAAAATGGATAATTTTATATCATCTGATTGGAACGATATAGAAAATCATTTGAAAGAAACAATATTTTGATCATTCCTAAGAACAATATAGAAAATCATTCGAAAGAAATGATATTTTTACTAAAGAACAAGTATATTTTGGCATCAATTTTTAGTAAACATACATATATGTTCAATTCTAAAAATCAGCTCTTATCAGCAAAAGAATACCTTAAAGAGCAATCATGCTTTAAAACTATCTGCCATTTGGAGAATGATTTTATAAAAGCTCTCAGGTTCACTACACCTTTGTTTAATCAGATTGGTGTCACAAATTTAAAGGAAATCATCATAGATTCTACTTTTTAAACAAACCAGAAGCATTTTGAGTTTTTTTGTTGTAAATGCAAATTGTGGAAGATATGGAATGTCAATAGCATATTTCTACCTTCTAACATGTGATGGCTTTGCTGAAACATATAATAATCCTAAGAATCAAATCCAAACTCGAGTACAAGTCTTATGCGAATTTTTCACTAGCCTTTGAAATAAAGGATTATTACCAATATTTGCTTTAATAGATAAGGATGCAGGAAAAATATCAGCTATAGAAAAAGCATGGTCATGAACAGTAAACCTTCAACTTTATTATTGGCATTTGGAGCATGCTATTGACCGACGTTTAAAGGACAAAAAATTAAAATCAACTGGTTATTTAAAAAATAAAGCAATAGAAACTCACCAGCAGTTTAATTTTATTGAATTATTATGGATTCCAAATAGTTCTACTGGAAGTTTATGCCCAGATGATAAATTTAAAGAAGTTATAAACATGGTTAAAAGACATGCAATTATGCATCTATTAATCCTAGTAGCAAAAAATACCTTTTGGAATTTTTCTTAAATATATCAACACTGTGTACAAGAAGTATATCAGTTTTGTCATAACAACAATCTTTCTAAATTGTAAGGTTATTTATGGGTAAATTGATACAATAGAAAAGATTGAAAGTTGTTTGCTCGTTCAGCATACTCATCAACAATAGCTTTAACCTAGACAACAATGATTACTGAGAGTCATTAGCGAGTGCTCAAATACAATTATAAATATAACTATAATCGTCCGCATCTTGATAGGCTTACACAAATTCTTGTTAAGCAGTTAGTATCAGATTTTGATTTCAAAATGACTCAGTACTATACAAATTGCAGCTTTCTAGCTTAGTGGCAAAGCTTCAAGAAGGATTGGAACAAGATCATGAAAACAAATATTGAATCTGGTATAGATGAAAGATATCATATTGACGCAGTTAATTGGATGTGTTTCTGTTCAGCATACTTCCAAAGTTGCTATCTTCTTTGTAAGCATTTGGTTTCAAAAAAAAATATTTTGCCAACTTTTATGAAAAACAATATGTTGTCATGACTACCCTCTAATATTTTTTGATGATAATACTAATGAAATAGCATCAATTTGCCAAGAAAATTATCCTTGAAAAAGGAATAGACAAATTATTATTAAAAATAATTACGATCAAGAATCCCACCCAAGTTCTAGTAATTTGTAGCATATAGAAATATCGGAACGAAATAATACAGGAGATGAGATAATAGTAAAGTTGACTTATTATGAAAAAGTCTTTAATTCAGCTTTGAAATTATACCAAAGAGAAAAAGATAATATTCATTATGTAAAGAGCTTTGATTCTCTTATAAAGTCAGTCATTCAAGCTGTAGAAGAATGTGAAAAGAAGCTAGCAGTTCATACACAACAAAGTACATAGAATTCTAAAAATGAAAAACTTGTTTTTTGGTTGCGTTAATTATAAAATAAAGTTTTAAATACCATTTATTATTTGAGTATATATTTTTTCGCCTAATAAATTGTATTATTAAAGTAATATAAAATAACTAAAAGAAATAAATTTGTAATAAAATAAATATATCAAAAAAGCTTCTCTATTGTCAAAAGATCAGTAGAGTAAAAAAAAACTTAAAAAAAAGATTTTGCTATAAAGTATATATTAGATCAAAGTGGTTAGATCAGATCAGCATCACGTGACAGTAACTTTTTTTCACCATAGATCCTGATTTTTGATGATCACGTATCGGTATCGTGATAAAACTTACTTTATAGGAGATCAAAACTTTTGGATACGAATTCCTTAATTTTTCGTATCCTTTCTGAAATAACAATTTCCAGATTTTAATCATACCATACCTTAATAAGGAAAATTCCATTATCTTGACATATACATTGCTTTTTCCGATCATGATTAACAATATCTTCAAGTTTTTTAACATCCTTATACCAGTTAGTGTTATAAAGCTTATGCTGAGCCCCTTGCACCTCTAATGCAATTCGATAATTTTGGAAGAAGATATTAATCTCTAATCCGTTTAAGAAAGAAGGATAATATTTAACCATAGGTTCTTCATTAAGAATTTTCTTAGCTATCTGGATGCATCTAAAATTTGCAGTTTTTCTTAAATTCTCTTTCTGACTGATCCTGCTCTAGTTTTAAAAATTTTAGCCTCAAGCTCAGTCTCAATGCTTTAAGCCTAGCTTTCTAGTCAGTTTTCTTTCAGTAATCAATACTTTAAACTCAGATGACATTATAGATAATATTTTTATACATGAAAGAATTATTCAATGTTATATAATAAATGTAAAATCACTTTATTAATATACATAAAAAATAAATACAAACATTCAGAAGTAACCCATGATACATGATAATTTTTTTTATACTAATGACTGTGAACTAATATACATGATTATTATTTTTTCTTGATTATTTCTTCTACATAATGCTTCTTAGTTGCAGGTTTATCACTACCTACTATTTTATCCTCTAATAATCCTACAATCACTTCTAAAACTCTCTTCACACTCTTATACAATTCTATACCATTTTTGAGGATATCTTCTGTTAGGGAAATTCAATACTCAGTTCTACTCATACTATAGATACTCTCAGTGCTATAAAGAATAAAGTATCAGTCAGTTCTAGTACTAACTATATCATAGATATAGTCATAGTTAAGATCAAACACCTCATCAACTTTTTATTTTTTCTTGTTCATATTTATATTCACCCGAAGGAAAATAGCGAAGTAAGTTAGCAATATCCTATGATTATCTTGTAATAAATGAAAATATTATACTTACATCACACGTATTTTGATATTCTAGTAAGTTTTAGCAGATACCTATAATTGCCTAATTTTGCTTGCTCTCGGTTAGGGCAGTGACATATATTACCTAATATCATTTAATTATAAGCACCTACCCCCCACCCCCAAGTAAGATATTTCGATCACGTGTATGATAATCATTTCCTTTTATAGAATTCATATGGGTCATGATACCTCCGAGACTC